TTTCTTTCTTTTCTTCTTTCTTTTCCTCCATTTTTAATTCCTTTTCTCCTTCTGCAGGTTTCTTTTCTTCTTTTTTCTCCTCAATCTTTAATTCTTTTTCTTCTACTGCAACTTCTTTTTGTTCTTCTTTTCCTCAATCTTTATTTCTTTTTCTTTTTCTTCGGGTTTCTTTTCTTCTTTCTTGTCTTCAATCTTTAATTCTTTTTCTTCTTCTTCAGGTTTCTTTTCTTCTTTCTTTTCTTCCACTTTTAGTTCCTTTTCTTCTTCTGCAGGTTTCTTTTCTTCTTTCTTCTCTTCTAACTTTAAGTCTTTCTCTTCTTTTGCTGGTTCCTTTTCTTCTTTTTTGTCCTCAACCTTTAATTCTTTTTCTTCAACTATTGGTTTCTTTTCTTCTTTCTTATCCTCCAGCTTCAAGTCTTTCTCTACTTTTGCTGGTTCCTTTTCTTCTTTTTTGTCCTCAACCTTTAATTCTTTTTCTTCCTCTACGGGTTTCTTTTCTTCTTTCTTCTCCTCAACCTTTAATTCTTTTTCTTCCTCTCCGGGTTTCTTTTCTTCTTTTTTCTCTTCTATTTGTAATTCTTGTTGAGGTTTTTTTTCCTCTTTTTCAACTTGAAGGATAGTCACTTTCGGTGTTTCTTCGATTAATTTTTTGTCAATAATTTTTTCTTCCTTTTTCTCTTTAGCTTCGTCTAGATATTTTTCTGTCGTATCGAGAGGTTCCGTTTCTTTTACTATTTCTATCGTCTTAGTCAATTCTTCAGGTTCTTTCTTTTCCATTTCTTCTTTATCCAATTTAGCAAATTGTAACTTATCGATGTCTAATTCTTTTTTCTCTATTTTCTCTTTCGTCTCATGAACAAATTTTTCGTCGGCTTCAATAACTTCGCTTATTACGTCTTCGACAGCTTCTTCAGCGTATTCTCGTTCCCTCAATTCATCCGATTTTGGCGAAATAACCCGTGAGGTATCTTCTAGCGAAGTAACCGTTACTTCACGCACTTTATACTCTTGTTCAACAGCCTCAAAATCATCGGTAATGTCTTTTTCTTTTGGAATTATTTGTTCTTTAATTTGTATCTCTTCTTTCGAAACTTTTTTACCAATACTAACAAAACCATCTTCTTCTACTTCTTCTTCTTCCTCCTCCTCTTCTTCTTCTTCGACCTCTTCCTTTTTTTTCAAGTCGAGTTCTGCTTTGAGTGCTTCAGGCGCTTCGAATAGTTTCTCTTCTTTTTCCTTCTCTAGTTTCGCGACAGGTACTTTATCGACCGGTGATAATACTTCCTTTGGTTCTTTTGTGACCTCTGTAATTTCTTTTTCTTTTTCCTTTTCGATTTCTTTCTTTTCCACTTTTTCTATTTCTTCCTTTTCTTCTTCTTTCTTTTGTTTAAGAACAATCTGTTCTACCTGCGAATCAAACAGACCTTTAGTAGGAACATCGATTAATTTTTGAACGATAATTTCCTGAATAATACGAATGATAATCGTTTTCGGTACGGTTTTTCTCACAGAAATTTCCTCCACGATTTCAATGGTTATACATTTTCCTTTCCTCATATATTCATCGATGATATATTCCTCGAGTTCCATTTGCAGTCGTGGAGTAATCGATTCGAGTCTCAAGATATCAACGTTATCGACAACATCCTCCTTCGAAAGTCCTTTCCGTATGATAATCTCTTCGATAATATAAATCACACGCTCTTTTGGAACACGTTTCACGATTGTGATATATTCTACAATCTCAATCGTAATCCTCTTCTTCTTCGATACAAGCTCTTCGATTATCTCTTCTACCATGCGATCAACTTTATCAATGATCGCTCTTACTTCGGACGGCAATTCAATTGAGGTAGCAATTTCTTCACTCGCGTCCACTTTGGCCTCGCGCTCTTTATCCGTTACGAATTTCGGCGATGTTGGCGTCGAACCGGGGGAGACCATCACGATCTCCGCCTTCGCGGGAGAAATCTTTTGATCGAAACCTATCACCGACTCTTCTATCCCTGTTCGAATTTGTGCCTCATCGATCGATTTTCTCGCGGTTTCCTTCACGCATACGTCCTCTAATCCAGCTTCCATTACATCCATTTTCGGAGAAACAACTTCCTTATCGGGAACAACCGGCTCCTTTATTGCTTTTCTATCCTCTCTCAACATCTCTTCGCAAATCTCTTTAACGTCACGTTTATCCTCCGATTTTATATCTGGAGACGTAATATCCTCGATTTTCTTCACCATTTTCACGCAAGGCTCCTCGTGCACTTCGACGAGCTCTTCGGCTTCCTCCTGATAAGGAGAAATTTCTTCCGTGATGCCAACCTTCGTCGGAATTACGGCAACTTTATCTTCGATCGTGGTTAATTTTTCAGGCGATTCGACGCCTTCTCCTTCAGAAACTGGCGATTTAGTTTTAGCAGCAGTGGGTGATACAGCAGCTTCTTCTTTCTTGATCGGTTCCTCGAATAACGCTTTGTCCGAAAATAAATCGTCTTCTTTCAGAACTTGAGCAACTTTACGCACGATTTCAATGACATCTTTCGGTTTCTCCTCGATATCTATGCCAGCTGTTCCAGCGAGGACCTCGCCAACATCTCGAACGGCCTCCTTAACGTCTTTGGTAGGCACTGGTTCCCAATCTTCTTCTTTTGGTATTTCGAATTTTACTTTCTCTGGTTCTTTGGTCTCGGGCGATATGCTTTCGATCTGCGGTTTTATCGCTTCTAATTTCTCCACTACACCCTCCAACGTGTCTTTAACGACATCCTTCACTGCTGGTGCTTCTCGTGTCAGGTCGACAGTTTCTTCTTCGATCTTTTCCTCCAACGACTCCAACGAGTCCCTCAAACTATCCTTCACCGTCTTGAATTTCTTCGAAGCTTCTTCCAGCAAGGCTTTTATTTCCTCCGCGTCTTCCTCCACTTCTTCTCCAACCTCCTCTTCCTTCCTAATCTTGACATCGATCTCTGTTACCTCCTCTTTCTTCTCGTCCAACGTGACTTCTTTCGGCTCAACTTCGCTCACTTTCACGTCTTCCTTTATCACAATTTTTTCATCGACAGGTTTAGGCACAACGATTGGCACTTCTTCCTCCTCCTTCTCTGCGACCTCAATTTCACTCGGTTTCTCCTCGGGCTTCGCTTCTTCCGGTATGGAAACATCCTCGACGACCTTCGCGACAGTTTCCTCGACAACTTCTTTCCGCTCCGCTTCAACTTCTTGCGCTTTTTCACTGGGTTTGCCTACTTTGGGGAACATTTTCTCCATATCGACCTCCTCGAGGACAGTTTTCTCTACCTTAGCTTCCTTAGGGGAGCTGGACTTGGACGAGGATTTTTCGTCGACATCTTTCTCTTGCTCCTTCTTCGATTTTTTAGTCAACTTATCGATGCCCTTCTCAAATTTATCGGCAACCTTGCCGAAGAAACTGAAAACACCTTTTTGCTCCTTGACCGGCGGGGTGGGCGGTTCCTGTTCCGGTTTCTGTTCCGGCTTCTGTTCTTGTTGTTGCGGCAACGTCAGCTTTTCCTCCTTGTCCTTTTCAAAGTCCTCTATCCTGTACAATTTGGGATCCACCTCCTCGTGGACAGGCAGATCGGCAACCTCGTCCGGCGTTTTCACGATATCTCGTTGCACAGCTTGTCGGATGTCGAACACGTGAACGTCTGGTTTGGTTGTCACCGTAAGGGGTACAATTCGCGTAGCAGCAGCAGTAGCAGCAGCAGCCACCTCCTCTTCCTTAATCTTCGGTATCACGTCTTTCTCTTTCACCTCCTCGATAATGTGTTTCTCGTCGATGTCCTCCTTTATTTCATCGAGCGGTATACGCTCGTCTTCCGGAAGGGTTGGCGCTGTCGTCGTGGCGCCAGATTCCAAGGTCGATATTCGCTCCTGCGACTCTTCCAATTTCTCGGGGATCTGCTCCTTTTGGTCGGCTTCAGGCTTCAAGTCGGTGTCGGTCGTTTTCTTCTCGGACGAGTCTAATTTGTCCGGGCTCAAGCTCGACGGTTCCTTCGTAACGTCCTCGCTGTCCTTTTTCCCAGAATCATCCTTTTCCTCGGGCTTCTGCTGTATCGTTTCCGCCGCGATTATATCTTTCACCTCCTCCTCCTCCTCCTCCTCCTCCTCCTCCAATCGCTCTCTCCGATCCGGCGACAGATCGATGGGCTCCTCCGCGCCCTCTTCCTCGATCTTCAACGCCGTTTCCATCGCCCTTTCCTCCCGTCCCTTCTCCACCACGCTCTCGTCCCTCTCCTTTTCCTCGACCTCCTCCTCCTCCCCTTTCTCCTTCACCTGCTCCATATCCTTCAGCATCTTCGCCTTCTCCGACTCAGCCTCGTCCAAGATATGCTTCTGTTCACCTCCCCGCTCTGGGTGGAGTCCTCGATGTAATCCTCCTCCTTCTCGACGATCAAGTATTCGTCGATCATCTCCCTCTTCAACGCCTCCTCCATGTCGGGCTCGATGATGTCGTCGTCCGTGATATCCTCCTCCTTCTTGTCGGTAAGCTCGGCGGTGATCTCGTCATCCCCCTCGGAACGGTCGTCCTTCCTCGTCTCCTCGATACGCTCCGCCTTCTGGAGCACGGCCTCGATCTCCTCCACCACTTCCCGCTCCTCCTTCAGATCGGCCAGCACCTTGCTCTCGATCGAGTCCAACGAGATGTCCTCCGACTGTTCCATCAGGCTCTTCTCCACCAGCCTGACGCCCGCCTCGGCCTCGATCCCGGACGGCGTGGACACCGTGGACGAGTCGGCGGTCCCCTTCTCCCCCTTCCCTTTCCGGGCAACCACGCCATCCTTGTCGGATTTCACGGAGGTGGTTGGCGTGCTTCGAGTCGATTTAGCCGGGCTGCCGGACACCCGCACCTTGCTCGGGCTGACAGGCTTCCTCCGCCCGATCGGCTTCCTGTCCATCGGCTTCGGCTTCGCCATTACCTTCACCGTCGTTTCCTTTATCGCCGATTTCTTCTGCTCCACCACCTTCCTGTTGTTCGCGTCCTTCGTGCTCTTCGCCGGCGGCGCGACCTCGATCTTGTGAACAGGCGGCATCTTTTTCACCGCCTTCGATATTTCCGTCTTGCTCGCAACCCCGTTCATGGTCTTCTTGGGCGTGGTCGGCGACGACTTGATCATTTGACCCGTCTCCCTCTTCTCCACGGGGGATTGCTTCGCCCTCTTCGACTCGACCGTCTTCGACTTCGGCACCGCGTCCACCATCTTCGAGGGCTTCGCGCTCTTCGCCTCCTTCTTCTTCGAGGGCTTCGCGATTATCTTCTCCGTTTCCTGCTTCGTGCCCTCGGTGCCCTTCTTCTGAACCTCCTCCTCGCGTCTCTCCTCCTTCTCCATCTTCCCAATTTCCTTTTTTATGATCTCCTTCCTCGCGTCCTTCTCCGCCCTCCTCTCCTTCACGTCCTTTATCTCCACCTCTATCTTCTTGTTCTCCAACGCTTTCTTAGTCTTCGCCTCGGCTTTGATCGGTTGCTGCGGTTTCGTGGGTATGATAGGCGTGCCCTGGGCTACTACCCGGGCAGGCAAATCCTCGCCGCCTTTTATCACTTTCATCTCTGGCGACTCCTTCTTCTCCTTCTTCGCGTCCCCTATCTTTTTAGCCGGCTCCTTGTCGCTTATGAGGCTGAACTTTTGCTTGGCAGGCTTGTCGCGCAGGGTGGCCAACGAGGCGGACGGGGAGAGGCTTTTGGCCGAGCAGACAGGATGCTTGAGAAACTCGAGATGCTTCAGTCGTTCGAACCCTTCGAAGATCTTGAGCTGCGGCGTGCTCCCGGGGAACAGGATTCTCGTGATGGTGTCCTCGGGATTGGCAGGTTGCCAGACCAGCATCGCGCATATCGAGACCAGATTCTGAATAGGGAAGGTTAAATTGTTCGAGTCCTTTCTGTGGGCGCCCGAGAACAATTTCGAGTCCGAGGTGTGCCACTTGGCCAGGAACTCCCTGACTTCGCGGCTGTCCTTGCTCGGGCTCAGCACGTACATGTCCAGGGTGCCGTGGCCCACCTTGTGATAAAGATTGATCGGGTCCGGATCCCTGTAGCACGGATGCGCCCGCAGATTAATGTGGCGTAGATTAACAACCATCTCTTGGCCGATGTCGGTGAGATTCAAGATCAGGGGATCGATATCTTTGTTCCCGTCCGGTGAATTGGATTGTCTTCTCTCCTGTTACGTGGGACAGTGCAACATCAACAGTTTTAGGAATAATAACGGTTATATAATAATTTAATAATATTAATGTGATAATAAAGAACGAAATAGAATTTATACAGATATATTAATCCAATATATCCCCTGTAATCTACGAAGAACTATGTAGCTAAAACTACTGTGTCGATAATTTTCCTTAATTCGTCTCTTTACTTGTCAAAATTTATATATAAATTATATTGTTATTACTTACGACTAGATTGCAGAAAAAGTGTCCGATTTGAGGATAAACGTGCATCTCCTTCTTTTTACGAAGAACGCTCGACATGCCCCCGACGTTGCTGTTATTTATTCTAGTAACTAATACAGCGTCGAGGCGGTCCAGGTGCCTGGTAAAGTCCCAAAAACAGGCCTTCCTTGCGAAACCGCCGTCGACCAACATGTTAAAACCGTTTATGCCAAAGAGGGCGGCATCACCTTGGCCACCGGGGAAGACGTACAAAGTTGGATGACTGAATCTTATGTTGCCCACGACATCGGACGGTTCCATCAATTGGTCCAACGTTTGGGCGACGAGATATTGTCCAACGTAATTGGTAAAACTGGTGATCGCTGGTAATCCAGCGGTAAGAACGTCGTCGGGATTCACACGGACTCTGCACGCTCTGCGATGATCGCGAAAAAATTCGTTAGAGAGCAAAAATTGAGAGAAAATTCAATCGGGACGAGGCGTACAAACCTGGTGCAGGCCTCCTTCGACAATCTGTTTGTCGTCCAATCCCCAACGCTCGCGCAATGAATGTCTACAGTGACGCTGTTCTCATACGCTCGAAGAACTCTTTGCACTTCGTGTTCGCTGAAGGCGTCCAGAAAATCGGCGAGGCTGAAGGTTCCATCCTGGGTGAACATGCATTTCGATGATCGTTAATTCCGGTGAAAAAAAAAAAAGCATGAAGAATACGCGATCTCAATAACGAAATCATACGGGGATATATATGAATAAATAATTTATGCGTAATTTCCCGCGTGATTCGAAAATTCTAAACTGATGCATAATCATTTGTACGTACTTGCAGTATCCAGGAACCATTCCCACCGAAGGTATATCCAGCGTGTATGATATGCCGGTGTTTCGTGAAACTCGCAAGAAGATTACGAATACATTGTAACAATGTATTCGTTTGTGGGTGGATCAAAACTTCGGTAACGAGGTTTTCTGTAGCGTATTGAATCAGTCGTTCGCCTGGAAATTAAATTTTCACCGATCGAGGCGGGTTGGGAAACGGAATAAATGATTTCGATTCTTTAATCTGATAATTCGTTTTTAGAAATACCATTTCTAGCTTCTTCTCCCTCGGGAGCTTGTGCCACCAACGCCAGTAATTCTTTTTCTAAATCTACGTGACAGCTATCCTTATCCCACGACAGGAAACCTGGAACGCAAAATTACAAGGAAACGTTGTGCAAGATTGGATTCGATGGATTTATGGGCTCCCTTCCAAAGTTAGTTACTTAACGACAGCTTTTAGAAGAGAAATAATGTTATCAAAGATTCAATCAACGCCTCCTGATCAGGTTATATTAAATAATTAATACATTTTTATTGGTTAATACCGGTTGAAAAATATTGTTTGATCGTATTTTCATCTTTATCGCAAACCTGAAAGGTAAACGATCGAAATACTACGATTACAATGCGACACATAACCACCCAAGAGTCCCCGGCACTAGTTTGGCTTCGTAAAGTGAGGATAGTTCAGGGCTGAATTCACGTAAGGTGAAGGTTAAGAAATCATCCTTTCTATTCGTACTCATCAAATTTTAATCATACGAATATAATAGAAATGATCCCAATTGTATATGTATATAAATTCGATCTATTGTAACAATGATATTTTCTTTACTTTCATTTGCACGTGTTCCTATTTATTTTTTATATAAATCCTTTCAGTCGGCTCTTTCATCGGTGCATAAGCGAGAATCGGTGATAAGATTTTTCTGTTTCACCTTTTCCGCCCACGAACTCTATACTCGTTTAAAACCTGGGGATTGATCTGTGGAACGGGATTAAACGAATCAAGCGTTCATTGAATAATCGTCTAAAGAAAAAAGAAAAAAAATACTAATATGTCGATACCACGAATAAAACAGAAGTTCCATGACGTCACGAATACCGCACCCCGTCACGTGGTTCGGCGGTAGCCGGCAATCGATCGCACATCCTGCACCCACTCTCTATTGCCATCTCTGCTACTGTTACTTTATCTTTTCTACGTGAAAAGCCTCTCTTCCAACTACCAGCTGCTTCGAAAGCAGACATACACCTATGTACGTATAAATAATATAGATAAATAGACAATCATCGAATGAATAAATAATGCATAAACGTCTGTCCCATGTATATATATATGTGTGTGTGTATATAAATCTAAATGTCAAAAATTAAAGTTTAATTTTAGTGACGATATTTTTTTCTAATATCGTAAGTCGTTCTTACTGTATGCTTTATATGCATTACGTAACATTGTGAAACTTATGAAAATTATTTTTAAGAATTTAAAATTTTCTCGCGATCAAGTGGAGAGAGAGTATAAAAATAAAAATGTTTTTTTTTTTAAATCGAACATGTAAGTATTTCTTGACACTTTCATTACACTTAATTCAAATGATGCAATTTTTCGATTAATTGTTTAATCGAACGGTAATTCAAAATTTTTAATTTTTTATCTCGTATAACAAAAAAAAATGAATTCCACTACGATATAAACAATATATCATATATGATACGAATTCATTCCATTTCATGTTATATAAAATATCATTGATTGAACTAAGAGAATGTCGAAAATGAAAGGACCGATGATTTTATTGTGTATATAAAATTGTAGAAGATGGTAAAACAATTGAGTTGATAAATGATCGATTCATTCGTGATGCGAATAGTTTGTGCACATCATAGTGATCAGTTTATATGTTTGAAAGTTGTTTAAAAAGTTGTTTGATAAAATATATCGAAACGATTGAATCGGTCGAAAAATCATATCGTGTGAAATAATCGTAACAATTGAATTTAACAAACGATAATCGATCCAACAAAATTGATCCAATAAGTGAAAAAGTACAAACTAAAACGCATACGATTGTTGAATTATAAACACGAGTATTGACAAACAGTTGTTCGCTCCATTTAAAACGGTGCATTTAACATTTAAAAGAAGAAAAAAAAAAAAACGAGTAAAACGAGTTAGTAAATTGAAGATCTCTTGAAGATTCGAATTGAATTTTTGATAGAATAATAAAAAATAACTTTCGTGAAAAGATACTTCGAAGAATAAAAATTCATACCAAGAATAATTAAAATTAATCTTTAAATCCAATTATTCACGTGATAACCGTATAACTATAATTCTTTCGAATCGCTTAACTTGTCAAGTTGAACCACAGAACCAGCAAATTCTCTATGTCAAATTGATCGGAAGCCCTGACGATGATACAAGAGAAGCCGTGCGTCGGGGGTCGTGTCTTCTAATGCGTGACGAACCATGCACATTTTTCTTTTTTTTTTTTTCACAGTATACAAGCGTACGTTAGTCTATTTAATCATTATAATTATTACAAATTTACTTATTTATTTATATAACATATTCACACTGGATTGCAACATAAACACATCCGCATACGTGATGCGAATAAAATTAAATGAAACCGTTTCGTTAATATCAATCTCTAATCAATCTATTGCGATCCAATTAAGTGAATGTGAGGCATGGTTGTTTTTTTCCTTTTTTTCTTTTTTTTTTAATTTCTTTTAACATTTGAAAAAATGAAAAAAATAATGTCCAACTGGATATTTTTCAAGAAAGGGTCACTTGATGAAATTGTTGCCCTACGTTGACGCTTTGTGGGCAGTTGAAGATACAGTTAAATATAGACAGAATCGTGGCTTTCTTCGTTCGAGCGTTTACCCCTCGTGTGGTATCTTAGAATCTTAGACATTCCTTTCTATCGCCTTTCTCGATTTGCATTCATTTCCTCCTTTATCCACTCTCTGCAAATTTTCCAATTATTTTTATTCTTGTTTAAAGGCTTGTTTCCTTTTTCTTTCTTGTCTTCAATGTTAAAAATTGCTTCAACTATGTTTAGACACATGGGGTTCATCTTTATTTTATTTTTCTTGCGACGTATATCTTTATAATTTCGACACATTTTTCGCAATTAATTAATGCATGATAAATTATTAATATTCATATTTTTGATACATAGGTTAATATTTTGATGGAATATAGGTATAAATGAAGATTGCAATTTTTTACGAGCATGTATAAACGTGTTGTAAAAGCTTTTGTTGTTTAACAGGGTCAAACAGTTTCTTCGAAAATTGCTGACATCATTCCTGATTGATCTCACAAAGAGAGAACGAACGAGGTCGATAGGAAGCTGTTGTTCTAACCTGTTTCAATCATAAGTGTCAATTATTGCCGTTTCTTTGATCAAATATGTATATATATATATATGCATTTCAGCTATTCTATCGTATTTATGTGGAAAAAATTTTAAACAAATGGCAATATCCATAATTTATAAAATTATTACTATTTGTAAGTTAAGTGTTAAAAAAAAATCAGATGCATAATAATAAACTAGTGACCATTCGTATATGAACATATACGAAGTTGATAGAATAGCACACAGATCGACTTGGCTCGTCCGCTCGGCTATTTATATTTTTAAGAGAAGGGCGAAGACCTGATCCAAGGATTTGTTAAAGACGAGGGCAAGATTTACTTTTTCACGTTTCACGATATTGCCATATATCGAAAAATATAGAATCACCTTTCTTTTTTCGATAAAAAAAATATATCTCGTGCATAAAATAATAATTTTCAAATTCTTCTGGTTCTTTAAAACATCGGATACACGTGGACTTTTATCTATATAAAAATAGATAATTTTTTAATTAAAACCATTATAATGATATAATTAACTTGTTACGCGCGTACATTAAATCGATACAAATTTGTAAACAAACATAGTTAACGTTTAAAATATATTTTAAATATACGATACAAGTAAAGAGAATTGTGCTCAAAATTCTCGAAATGAAAGATTGTGATGGAATTACATCTCATCAATTGGCATCATCTTTGATGACAATAAGAAACGAAAAAAAAAAAGGAAAAAAGATAAATGGAAAAGAAATTATGAAGGAAATACAAGAAGATCGGAAATCTTTCTTGCGTTTTAACTTGATCGAGTATCAATGCTAACTGTAAGTATGTTATTTGGTGTAAGGGTCAGGTTCAAGAACAAGGTAACCGAGAAACAGAGTTTCACGATTCGAAGAGCACGTTGCACGAGAGAGCAAATCACTGGCGAATGCCGCGATAAAATTAGACACACTATATTCAGTTGGCGGTACGACGAAATTGTGAAGGGTCGTTCTGTATAATTTACTAAATATCTCTGTTCGTTTCATTTTTACGTTAAACACGTCGAATTTTCTCCAAAGAAAATAATGTTCGATGATAGTTTTAATTAACTCTTTCGATAACCAAATTTTTTCTCTTTCCCCCCCCCCCCCTGGACTCTGCGAAGAAAACTTTTTTTTTATTATCGATCGATATTATCGATTGGAAAAAGATGCTATTTTTTTGTGAAGAAAAGAATATGTTGAAGAAAGAATAATGTAATCAAATATCTATTTTTGCGGGGAAAAAAGTATAATTGTTATTTAATTAATGATTAATTAAAGTACACACATCACGTGTGTAATTAATCGTGTTTAATTTCGTATACGATATATGTATAGCATGTACATAGAGATGCACACACACACACACACACACACACATATACGTATAAGTACATGCGCAAAATTAAATTAGTACACGCATCGTCTCCCGTAATCGAATAAACTAGCATAGCTCGATAAAGCATGCAACGTAAATTTTTCTCATTCGATTCGATAGAACTCTTGACGAGTAAGTTCTTCCGGATATTACAAGCATCGAATAACTTCAACTTTCGCGATGCTCCCCACGTCCTCAATCATGATTCATACCGACAAGTATGCCTTCCTATCTTATGTATGTGTGGTCACTCGTACAATATCTGTAAATGCACACGCATACACGTATCTGCACACGCATTATCATATTAATCTTTTATCACCATTATTGCTGTGTATTAAAGTTCAGGTAAATATTTGCGCACATCGATTCATCCCAAATATGATATGCACAATCCTTGCAAAATTGTCAATTTGTAAATCGTATAATATAACGTAACAAAATATTTTTTTCTCCGTATTTATTATTAATATCTCAATATTGACAATGATCATATTCCTTTTCGTACACTTTTATCAATAAAATCTAACCTCAACGTTTCGAGAGTTTATATATACGTATACCTCGTTTTATGCACTTTCTTGTGTATTCACATTTTATTCACGTCACGTACGAGAAGAAGATACGGGTATAATCGTCGGAAATAATGAACAAGTAGGTACCTTAAAATAAGCACACGAATGAATTCACGTCTCGCCTTCTTTCCGCTCTACCAATCCTTCCTGTGATGCGTCTACACAGGCAACCCATGAGTCACATAAAACTTGCTAACGTTTCCATACCTATCGCATGCAAATGACCCAGATGAACGAACCCGTGAGTAGAAGATGCAACGATTTCTATTGTTATATATTGCAACGAAAATGAATTAATATGAAAAACAAAATGTTCAATGTTATTATTTCTGATGATAGAATTGACAATGATAGAATCTTTTATTAAATGAGATATACTTTTTTTTTTTATATTACAATTCTTCGAGAATTGTATGTAAATTTTTAAATATTCGTGTGCACTCTAGATAACATTTTTTTTTTTTTTATACTATAGCCTTCTTCGCGTCGAAAACAAAGTAACGAGTAATTTTATGAAAATGATTCTTAACTAAAAATTGAGCAACTACAGTATCCAGAACTGTTTTAATCTATCTCTCTTACTCGTCTCCTATTACCTTTCTCATCCCACATTTGCGTGCTTATATTTGGTTTAATTTATTTCCTTCTATGCACGTAAATAGAAATACAACCATTGTTTATTTAATTATGCTATAAAATAATAATATGAATTGTCATTATATATATATATATATATATAGCAACGATTTTCGTTACATACAGTCTAGATGGATTATTGATCGAAGTTCTGGTGACTGCGGGGATGTGGCCGTAGGCCGGTCTAACATGCGCATACCGCATCAAACTCACAAGTGCAGATTTTTCCTTTTATTCGCTATTTTTTTTCTTTTTTTTTTTTTTTTTTTACCTTATTCATCTCTTTCCATTTTATTCTCTATAATAATAAAAATTCTCGTTTAATACATAAAAAATTTTTATATCCGTGTTAACATATCACTAACATTTTTCACTGTTCACTTCTTATTTTACGTAGATTTTTTTTTTGGGGGGGGGGACTATTGAATTAAATCGTTAAATAAATCTCTTTCATCGAAAAAGAAATCAACGACACAATGTATCCTGTTCACTTTCACAATTCTCTTTCTTTCAAATATAAAAAAATACTTGAATAGAATAAATAAATTTTATAATTTAAATAATTTCTCTTATGTTTTTAATAAAAACGCTATTTGTTTTATACCCCCGATTCAATTAATAACAAGAATCAAAATCAATATTTTGAATTTATTCAAATCAAAAGAGAATTAATCATTTTAATGTTATTTATGGATTATTTATTTTGCATATAAGAAAATCATTTTTTTATTCAAATTGTTTTAACAACAAATTGTCTTACAAAAATATAACTTGATCTCTGAAAGTGAAATTTGTTGAAATAATAGAAAGATCTGTAATTAACTTATTGAGACAAGTTTGAGCGTTAAGCGAATTACAATGCTTCTTAAAAATTGACAACTAACGATTAATGACGAATCGAGGTACCACCACTCGATTTCCTTACTAACCAACGTCCGCTCGAACTCCGCCTAGCAACAAGGGGGACCTGTATAAAGTTGTTGGGTAAGCTCGTCCGATAAATCGGAAGGAAAACGCACAGCGAAAGAGAACCGTTAGTGCTTGGAATCATGTGCGGAACTAACACGACGAAATATGTGAAATCATAATAACATAATCTTAATTATAAACGTTAAATGCACCAAAATACAAATTTCATAAAATATATTTTATTAATTTGTTGCTATCTATTATCATTTATCGATACAACATTAGACCCTTTTTAAAAAAAGTAAAAAGAATGTTCAACGTTATATTACAATGCCCTATTTTTATCGTAATATTTATTTATCAGCAAGAGAAAAAAAAAAAAAAGAAAAGTCTAAAGTACAAGAATAACGAGTAATTAATATTTCGAACATTGTATGTCAATTAATTTTGAAATTTCTATCGAGAGTTTCTAAAAATTTCTAAAATTTTTCTAAATTTCGTAAAAAAAAATTATCACAATATATTGTCTTCTTTCTTTCTTTCGAATTGCGAAATATTATCGTGTATTTCGATAAACTTTAGCCACGAGAAAGTATTATTAGACTTACCTTTCGCTAGGCGGTTTAAGATGAGATCTTTATGCTGCGCAGTATGAGGCTCTGGAAGCACAACGAGAAGGTAACAACCGCTTAGTGGTGACGGTGGTGGATGCTGTTGTTGAGAGCCTGGTTGCACCGCACTACCGGTCACCGGTATAACCGGAGATATATTTTGTTCAACGTTTGTTGGTGATATTGTACTCGTCACCCCTCCCCCTCCACCCTCTCCAGTAGGATCCGTGGTACTCATTGCTAAAACAAAATAGAAATAACAAACCAATTATTCATTGATACAAATATATTTATTTGTGTGATTGCCCGGTGAAATTTGTCATGTTATGGATCCCTGTTACAAGACATGTTATTTGTCACACTTAGTTTCTCTTCAAAGGAAAATTTGCCGTTTAAATATGTCATTCGGATCAAATTTCTTGACGACAGCCGATAGTCTAACCACAATCCACTGATTGCCACTTTTCACTAACACTTTTTGGATATCGTGTCCGACATGGACACAACATCATACTTTCATCAGCATTCTCATATCCCACAACACCTTATTCGTTGTTAGAATTGATACACTACTTTCACATTTTACGTATCACTACATTTTATGCAAAATATAATTTAATTGTGATAAAAAATTTGAACTTTATGACGATTAACACCGTATATATATATATATATATATATATATATATATATATATATACACACTACTATATATATATATATATATATA